TAGCATTGTTACTGGGCACACAAAGATTGGAGAAGATGCTACGTCCATGGAGTCATATTTTCTGAGAGCGTTGTATGATATGAACTATTTTGGGTTGTAATATTTCTAATATGTGTTCATTGTTTACATCCCACATGAAATTGATAGTATCATGGTAGCTGGAGGTGAAGAAGAATATACTTTCTTTACTATATCTTTGTCTTATAGTTGTTGTTTAGATTTGTACAATTGGTAATACTAGGTAAAACTATGTTGGTTTTGTTTTTTTGATTTATACTACTGGTATTACTAGGTAAAACTATGTGCACCGTCAAATTTATACATGTGCGAGTCAAATTTACACATGTGCACCGTCAAATTTGGGAGAAAACCCAAAAAAAAGGGAGAATTTCAATTTTGGGACACGTGGGCCCCATCTTATCCACGTGTGCGCCGTTTTTTTTCCACCAGTGCACAGCTTTTTTTAAACATAGTTGTACCCTAGTTATTGGTTGTACAAATTTTCTACATAGTTGTATTTTTGGTGTTTTTCAGTTTAACCAGTATTACATATTCTTAAAAATTGCTTATCTAGTTGTACACTTGAATGAACTCTATAATTATAGAATTATTAATGTTTTTTGTAATCATACGTTAAAAATATATAAAATTGTAAATTTTTCATCCTAAGTTGGTATTTTTATAAAAAGTGAACTTAAAAGTATAAGGATTATGTTGTATGGAGTCTATTAAAACAATCTGATATGATATAATTTTTTTTTCTCGCTTAATTTATTTTATATCATTTATAAGAGTTCATTATCACTTAATAGTCAGTGTAATATTTAATGTTGGAAAAAATTAATTCGAAATTCAAATTCCTTCATAAGTTATACCAGTTTTACTAGTATTACCAAATCTCGTTAATAATACTAGTTTTACCCATTTGCCATAGAAAAAAAACATAGTATTACATCAGAAAAAACTAGTGTTACATAGTTGTCCAAGTCGAAATTATTTTACAAATCATAAAGTGCAGATAAAATCAAATATTATGATTGCCAGATAACAACCACAAACAAAACAAAACATAACCTCTACTCTCCACAGTTGCTCAGACAATTCTGGTTGAGTGATGACTTCCACATACAAAACATATCTACGAACTACGGTTATTTTCACCTAAAACTATATAGACACCAACATCCTCATCATCACAAATGTAAATCTCTTCCTCTGGTCCCAACACCACTGCATTATACCTCATTTACAATTTAACCTTACTTTTATCTAACACTAGCTTCTTGCATATCCTACCTTCTAACATGGAGAGAGTTATCTTCTCCCCTGATGTCTTCATCACCGAGCTATACATGCGACTTTCGTATTTAAAATATATGATCACGTTCTCCCTCATTGTATCCTGCCAAAACAATACAAAAACTCTGCGAGTTATACTAGTTGTACTACAATTCTGGGTAATACTAGTAAAACTAGTAATACTACATATATCTGGATAATACTAGTGTAACTAGTAATACAACATATATATATCTGGGTAATACTAGTGTAACTAGTAATACTACATGTATATGGGTAATACTAGTGTAACTAGTCATACTACATACATCTGGGTAATACTAAGTGTAACTAGTAATACTACATATATATTTTTCAATAGATTCAGGTTCAATTCTACCCAGTTCTACCAGTTGTACTTTCGCGTCAAGAACTCAAATCGAATGGTTTCGGGTTCTCAACTACAATTCACTATGATTCAGTTGCTGCAATCCATTTCTTATCCATTTACAGACCTATTCGACCCAGAAGCTATGCATAAACTTCCAATGTGCATACCAAACAATTAGCTAAATCCAATTGGATTCAATCTCCTTAATTCTAAATGGTTTTGATTCAATTTCAAGCTCAAAGGAGCTCGAGAAACATACATGTCCTTTCTATCTCGACCCAGCTCGCTGGAGGAGAGGATACGACAACAATGACGACTGCAAATCGAATATGTGGAAACAATGGCGGAAGAGGAGCACGACGAGAGCGAGAGCTCGTTTTTTTTTTTTCCAGTTTTCGTTTTTTTTTTTTTAATTTTAGTAATTAATTAATTATTCTAAAAATAAATGAATGGTATAATGGGCAACACACATTTCATTAATAGAGAAAGAGATATGTAGACAAATAAAGGATATAAAAGGTTAGTTGCTTTCAAAAAGGGACTTGAGAGACATTTTCTCCATTGTTATATCCAAATTGGGTTATGGACTCAACGGCAATAACTCATCTCTCGGCCTCAGAAGTACACTCCACTCTAATATTAATCGTAATATCTCTCATTCGGTCATTGTTGGTAACCGTTCCAAACTCCCAGTCACTTGAGCTGGATCCTCTTCCTTTCAAACTCCCTCCAAAAATTTCTCTCTCAATCATGTCTTGTTACACCTCAAATTGTTAAAACTTACTATCTGTTCGTAAATTCACAACAGATAATTGGTGTAGTGTTGAATTTGACCCTTCTGTTTTTTCTGTGAAGGATCTTCAAACCCGGACAGTTCTACTCCATGTGATAGCTCCGGTGATCTTTACTGTCTTCCAGCGTCCCTCAATATAACAACATCTTCATTAACTGCTCTTTTAGCTTCCACCCCAACTCTTTGGCACAAATGTCTCGGCCACACAAATAGTTCTGCACTTCATTCTATATTTACGGTAAATTCTGTCTTATGTAATAAAGACAAGCTTCCTAGTTCTTGTCAACCTTGTTATTTGGGAAAGCAACTAAAATTGCCATTTCATTCTTCTCCAAACACGTTTTACTCAACCTTTTGAAATTGTGCACTCTGATGTTTGGTCCTCACAAATTCCAAGCATAAGTGGAATTCGATACTATGTCTTATTCCTAGATGATTTTACACAATTTCTCTTGGTTTACCCAATTCGTAGAAAGAGTGATGTCTCTTCAAATTTTCTTCACTTCACGGCTGAAATCAAAACACATTACAAGGGTCAAATTCAATCGTTCCAATGCGACAATGGCAGAGAATATAACAACCTCCAATTTCATGATTATTTCGATAAGAATGGGATAAAGGTTCGTTACTCATGCCCACACACTTCTCCGCAAAATGGGAAATCCAAAAGGATGATAAGAATCATTAACAACGCAATTCGAGCTCTGCTCTTTTAGGCTCGACTTTTGCCTTGCTATTGGATTGAGGCTTTCCATGTCATAGTTCATATATTGAACATTTTTCCGTCTTCCGCAATTCAAAATCAAATTCTCTTCACTCTCTTCCTAAAAAAACAGCCCACATATACTTACGCGTTTTCTGGTGCTTGTGCTTTCCAAATTTAAATCACTCCAACTTCCATAAGCTCTAACCAAGAACAACCCCATGTTTGTTTCTTGGTTATCTATCTCAACATCGGGGATATCGCTGCCTTGATCTCAAAACAAACAAAATTATCATCTCTCGTCATGTTCACTTTGATGAAGATATATTCCCAGTAGCTAATATGCCGTCAAATCAAGTCTCGTCTTATCGTTTTCTTGAGACTAACGATGAACCTTCACCTCTGTTTAAACAGATATTGCAGACACCAATTCCACTTCCTCTCCTACCCACTATACTACCGTAACCCACTGTTCCAACACAAGCTCAAATTCTCCCACCTCCTCCTCGTCATCCCATGACAACCCGATCCAAATCTGGTGTTATCGGACCAAAACTTGTTATATCTCTTCTCACCACTACCAAATAGCCACTTCCCAAAGGCAAAAAAAAAAACTAATAGTTTGAGCCCATTACTAAACAAAACTGTAAGTAAAATATCCAAAAAATAAAGAAAAATGTTTGCCAGCTACACGAAAGAGATGCCATCAAATCAAAGCATATATTATGGTGTTTATAAAATTAAAGAGAAATAATAGAGAAAAATGAATTTATATACTTTCATTTTGTTAATAAAATTTTGGTAATATAACAAAATATACATTTTCCTTTTGGCATTTATTTTTTTACCATAAAATAATATTTTTTCCTTCTCGGTTGTTTAAATACCACAAAAATGATTTTTTTTTTTAAATATATATTTTTTTATATTACCAAAATTTTATAAATAAATATAGCACAAAAAAACAAATTATGGTCTATTTTGTGGTATATTTAGTTATATTACAAAAATATATATACTAAAATTTTGTTGTATAATTACTATGTGGTATATTTATATTTGGTATATTTTTTTTATATTTTAAGTAAAATTATGTAATAATCTAGTTTTTAAATTTTTTTTATCAAAAATAAATAAAAAAAGAAAAACATATTTTTTTGAAAATTATTTTTGGCCAACATCGGTCAACAGCAGTCAATGCCGGTCAACGCCGGATTCCGGTAACCGGATCACTGGAATTGGATGGTTATGGTGTTTATAATATGACCTATGTTACTTCGGGGATGTCCGTATGTGATGGCAATACTACATACATGTAGCTAACAAGACATTTTTAAAGTATGCATGTGTTACTATGTGATGGCGTCTCTTTCGTGTAACTGACAAACATTTTCCCAAAAAATAACATATATGAGGCTCAAACTCGACATTTCAAGGGCATCAAGATAAAGATTTGTCACTATAACACAAGCTACTTTTACAAAATGATGCCCTTAACTTTAAATATATATGTCATGCCTAAAGCACCAGCTTCATGTGCTTTAGCCATGGGCCTGATCTGTGCATTTTTTGTTGTGTCCAATCCGGTGTTCCATGAGCTTACGAAACACGTAGAGCTGGAATGTCACCTCAAACGAGATAATATTAGACGACGAATTATCCAAACGAATAGATGATATTGGGAGATGATATATTGTAATTGGGCTTAATGGGCTTTTTAAGGATATTTTATGTACATTACTAGAATTAGGGTATTCATGTTAAGGGTAAATCTTAGCTTTTGTATAAATAGGATAGAGCTATCTTTGTAAAACTCATTTCAGATATACATAAAGAATTTTAGACCTTACAATAGCTGCCACCAGAAACAAGAGTACAAAAACTCAATAGACATGGCCAATACTAGTAATTTGCCATCATTTCTTATGTTGGCCTTGGCCTTGTATGTCGTTGCAGCACATACAAGTGCTCAGTGCAAATACTCTCCATCATCACCACCACCGTATGTCTATAGTTCTCCACCACCATATGTCTACAGTCCCCCACTACCATCTCCATATGTTTACAAGTCTCCCCCACCGGCTCCTTACCTCTATAGCTCCCCACCACCTCCTCCATACGTCTACAACTCTCCACCACCACCTCCTCCATACGTCTACAGCTCTCCACCACCACCTCCTCCATACGTCTACAGCTCTCCACCACCACCTCCTCCATACGTCTACAGCTCTCCACCACTACCTCCATATGTTTATCTTTCTCCTCCTCCTCTTTCATTCGTCTACAGCTCTCCACCATCCCCTCCATATGTTTATCAGTCTCCTCCTCCTTTTCCATTCATCTACAGCTCTCCACCACCGCCTCCATATGTTTACAAGTCTACCTTTCATCGTCCATTCATCTACAGCTCTGCACCACCTCCTCCATATGTTTACAAGTCTGCCCTTCATCGTCCATTCATCTATAGCTCTCCACCACCCCCTCCATATGTTTACAAGTCTGCCCTTCATCTTCCATTCATCTATAGCTCTCCACCACCCCCTCCATATGTTTACAAGTCTGCTCTTCATCGTCCATTCATCTACAGCTCTCCACCACCCCCTCCATATAATAAGCAATAAAAAATTATTTTCTAAATTGTCATATATAAGAACTGAAATGTATTTCTTTGGTTATACACCATGTGCACTTTTGTTGTTTAATTGCATCTTATGATGTTGTTTAACTCTTTAAAAGATCGATGTGCTTGTCCTCCGTCTTTTACTGTCTAATAAACTCAATAAATTTTATTGAAACAGTTTAAATAAATCCATCAATATCGTTTCTTTGAACAATTTCAGTTTCTATGAAAAGGATATACAAGTGTACCAATGTAACTTGGAGTCAGTATAAAAATCGATTTTTTTCTCATAAAAAACAAAGAAAATTAAGGTAGTGATGGAGCAAGATATTTCTCAATGATATATGTTAACGCAACTAAACTCGGAACTAACAAAAACCATTAGTATTATTAATTTTATCTTTATTTATTATTATCTTACAAATTTCCTCTATAAATAATAGAGTCTTAAAATTATAATTCGTAAGTAGGTAGTTCGAAACGTGTAATTATTCAGTTTAAAAGCACATAATTTCGAATGTGAAAGCAATGTAGTAAGATAAACGTCCGTTCTATGAGTGACAAACAAACTACTTAAAAAACCAAGAAAAGATAACAAACAAAATAACAAATAAAGTGGGGGAGATTATATACTATATTTTGAAATTATATTAAATGGAAAATCCCAAAAAATAATCTTCAAATTTAAATATTTTCCCAATTAAAATTTCCAATTTTTCGTTTCCATATAAAACCTCCAAGTTACAACATTTTCCCAAGAAAAACCTTAAACTTTTGTTGTTCCCATATAAAACTTTCAACTAATTAACTTTATCTATATAAACCTTTGTTTTTGTCCATCATCATATATTGTGAATTTTTAATCCACTTTATAAATCCAGCATCAATAGTTATTCATAAAAGGTTGGAAAAAAAAGTAAAGGGATGTTGCAAGGGAGGTAGAAAGGTAGAAAAGATATAACTGGATATAAGGTTTAAAGGTTTTCTTTTAAATGGAAATAAAGTTTATTAGTTTCTTTAGAAGCTGTAGAGAAATTTAAAATTACAATAGATGGTCTCACAAGAAGAAACTCAACTTTCATTAAAACTATCATGGTTGCACAAACGTGGCTATTATGGCCAAGGCCAGAATCTTGATGTCAAGATTATCCTCTATCTTAACAATAGCGTCCAACCCGTCGATTCCGACCATTAAGGATTTTCACATGATCATTCTTCCTTGGACGAACTATCTCCAGTTCGCTTGGGGGGACCATTATTGTCACCTTCACCGCTAACCCCGAGAGACACTTTACACATTCCATCCTGACAAAAGTAGCACATGGGAAGAATGCTCGCGTTAGAAAGGAGCTACCATTCATAATAACTTCTCGCTATCAAGATCATTGAATTTTTTTTCTGGTTTTGTTTATCACTATCAGTTCTTTTTATATTTTAAAAACAAATTCTGGAGTTGGAGAAAAGCAAAAGACTAACCGAAACATCTCGAATCACGGCCACTTCGCTGTCCCATCCAGCCTTTCGTACGTACGTGAACCTTGCTACAACATTCACATCAGTGGCATTTACGAAAAGCTAAGAAAACAACCATAGATATGGAAATATTTATCTTACATTTTATTAGATACGCTTCCTCTTATTAGACACGCTTCCTCTTACATTTGATTAAATCTAAACTGACATGGATCTATATGGTTTGTGAAATAATAATAAAAATTTCATATATGCATCCATTTGTGTATATCTCCATCCTTCAAAATCCATCGATCATGTCTAGGGAAACATTCGCATATTATCCTTCATGATTCTTGAGCTCCCAATGTATGAATACCAATCTTGGAGTACGAAAGAATCCATATAAATTTATGTTTACTATTAATTGGATCATATCCAACAAGGTTCACGTAAATTCACTAAAAAAAGTGGTCTCGGGCGACAAAATCAGGAGCTGGGACGTGGCGGCTCGAGTAAGTTGTGTTTTCTGTGGAAAAACGGTGGAGACAAGAGATCATCTTTTTCGCTTGTCCTTACTCATCTCAAGTGTGGTCATCTCTCACAAGAGGTATCCTTCAAAACCGTTACGCAGCAAGTTGGAGCCTAGTCTCCTCTCTTTTGCTCGACACTTCTCAGCCTAAGTTACATACTTTCATGTTAAGGTATGTCTTCAAATTAACAATTTATACTTTGTGGAGAGAGCGCAATGGAAGGCGTTACGGCGAGAGTCCTACACTACCTACTAAGCTCGCAAGACTCATTGACGAGAATGTAAGAAATCATTTCAGCTCTATTCAAAAGTCGGGAACAAATGCATACAAAGGGGGGCTACAATACTGGTTTAGCACTCGTACTCATATCCGTTAAATTCTTTTCTTGGTTTCAGTTTTTTTTTAATTTCCAGTTGGTTTTAAATTTCAAACAATGGACTCTCGAGCTGCATTTATTGTACAACGTCTTTTTGGTGAATAAATTTTACATTCATACAAAAAAAATCACTAGAAAAAAAAATATATGTTTTTGTGTCTTTAATTTGTACATTTGCATCGGTTCTAATTGATGCGAATTAGTTTTATATCATTTAAAGACGCGGCTCTAAAAGTGAAGATGCAGATATTTTGCATCAGTTGAAATAAATAATTGCATCGGTTTTTGTAATCGATGTCAATATGCACCGGTTATGGGAAAATGATGTTAATTTTGCATCAGGTAAATAAATGGTACTTTTAGTAGTGATGCAAAAATTAGTTAATTTTTTTATAAATTTAATTAAATTTTTATTTAATTAGTTATATATGATGGTATGTAACAAGGTCCTAGATACTATTTATTATTTAACTGAAATAAATATTTTAAAATAATCTCTTGGTGTCGATGAGATTTTTTATTCATCTACCACACATTTATAAACTTATTCCAAAGTTATGAGTTTGTTGTAAATGAGTAATTTTCTCTCTCAATATTTGTTTTGTCAATGTGGGATTTTCCTAAGAAAATGAAATTGCATTAATTACTTATTTGTTTGAACAATAAACACCAATATTTATTTTGTGTCTTTTTCTTTTAAATGATGCAAATCATATATATGAAAGGAGGCTATCTCTCTTCATCCTTCCGCCACGTCAGCATTTTAGGCTATTCTGGAGCTGACACATCAGCTTTCTATTCTTCCAATCAAAACATTTCATTAATATGATTCACCTTTTATTTTTTACACATCAGTTATTGTCAAATGAGAAAAACAGAATAGTCCATGAGGGATGGGGCATATGGATTTGAAAATCTATTTCACAAGTTAATAATATATTTATTATTTAATTATATATATTATTTAATTTTACATATTGATTTCTACTAATACTAATAACTTATTTTGTTATTTTATGTTTTTTTCAATGAAATTATTTTATTGGTTTTATATACTCCAAAGTTTTTTTCGCTAATTTTTGTAATCTTAACTCAAAATATGAGTGGATAATAGTATAGTGGATTTGCTAATGGTTTGAGTAAGTTTTTCTCTTAATTTTTTTATCTATATATTACACTGAGGGTGAAGAGTACGTAAGGTCATCAAATTTTTGAGGTTCTATAATCCCAACATTACCATCTATAAAATTGGTTTACGACAAAGATTGTTTACGGATTGTGTGAGTGATGCATTGTTGACTATGTTGGTTGAAAATGTATTTTAATACTAAGAGTAGTTGTTCATTGCATGAGTAAATGATTAGATAATTAAAAATTACATTTATCAAAATATAACATCAAGTAAATCAAAATAAAAAAAACGGAAAAAACTTGCGGCGTAAAGCGGGTGATCAACTAGCAACAAGAACAATCAAAATAATTTGTTCTTAACAACTTTTAAAACAAACCCACGCGTAGCGTGGGTATTCATCTAGTTAAGATAAATTTGTATCAATTTGACTTAATTAATGCCAAATAATTAGTTTTGGCGTCACTTATCCTTTAAATGGTGACCACTATTAAGAAAGAGAAACAGCAGCAATGTCTTATTCCGTTTTATTCCCTAATTTATTTTTTTACTATTTTCTATTACAAGGATTTTGTTTTCAATAACTTTGCCCTATACATTTCCTCTTCATTTCACATGAAAAAAATGATGGAACAAAAATGTTTTCCTCCGAAATTGTAGAGGAACAAATATTAAAAAAATTATTAAAATAGCACGAAGTGAGTGTGAATGTGGAAGCTATTCGTAATGTAGTGACTTTTGCGAGATCTTCTACCAAGATATTGATCTCATTTGATCAAAGGTTTGATCCATTGAATACGAGTAGAGGAAGATTGCCTTGGAAATCACCACCAGGTGGAATTCAACATTTCTGATGCTTACAAAAGCACAAAAGTTTAGAGTAGCATTTGATATAGATGGAAGCTGAAGACAAGCTCTATAATAACGACTTCCTCAACGCAGAAAAGGGTAAGAAAAGGATTGATCCTCCTACTTATATTGATTGGATGGCTATAGACAAAATGATGTAAGATTGGAACCCCCCAATCTTATTAATCACAAGATGTCAAGAGTTGACAAACTTTCTTGTGGAAATGGCCGTTGGTAGAGATAGAGATGGAAGTTGCGATTGATTCCACTATCATCATATAAACAAGAAGGCTTGATTCCACAAGCAATATGATCCGTAAATTAGTAGAAAAGAAGTGATTCCACACTTAGATTTTAAAGACAAGAACACAAACAATTCAAAGACACTTATTGAAAGAAAAATAACTTTTATTAAATCAATGATAATGGGTGCTTTACAGTAAATTCAGGACTGAGCTTTTATAGGCTTATGGGTGCTGGTGCATGGGAAGACTTTTTCTATATGTCTAAAAGTCTCTCCTTGTCGTCAATGATAGTTTTGGAGTGAACCAAATATGAAAAGATCCATTTTTGGCAACATATGGCCCGCGGGTAAAGCTAAAAGAGTAGCTCCTAAACCAACTCAAACCCGGGGTGATGTGGCTCACCCATTCTTCATAAAATCTGCATAATATTGGTGAATATTAAAGCTAGGCCGAGGAAATGTGACTTTGGGTCGCTCGAATCGATTGGTTCAGTAGTTTTTGAATCCGTCTCGCATAAATGTTTTGAAATATGTAACTTCCTGGTGAATCTTCAATTTAGGTTGGGCAAAGTCTTCATTGGGTCGGTAGATTTGAGTTTTGTGTGCTCTGAGTGAGTTATCGTGGACAAACTTCAATTCTGCATGGTGATTTATGTTTTTAGCTGAATCATTACTCTTATTAGGATGTATTCTTTCTAAATATCCAATCTTATGCCAGTTGCTTGATTAGTTGCTTGATTAAAACTTGGTTTGCGCCAAAATTCTCCTTTTTGGTCTGGTTTGGTTTGGTTGATGCTTGAACCGGCTGGTCTAGTCAACTCCATGTCTGATTTGGTATTGATGTCCACATCACAGAATGGTAAAATTTCTAAACCTCTTTTACACTTCTACTTGTATTCTCACAGCTTTTACATCTATGAGCTCGTATATGTATTATGGAGAGATTGTTACCAGAGGGAAGAAACTGATGTTAATGAGTTTTATTTCAGATAAGGAAATGAAGACCATGACTTTTGATATGGAAAAGTTTTTGACAGAAAAAGTCAAAAGGATGGATCCTTCACTAGACGAGCATCACTGACCCCCGCAATACTAATTTATCCAGCTCCAAAAAAATCGACATGATCATGTATGAATGTTAATGCAATTAGTATTGCTTTCACAAAAATCGTTAGTATATTTCTTTTTTGTTAGAATATAAAATTTAAAACAAAACGATAATCGTAATTATAGTGGAAAAACGATAGAATAAGAAAAGGTCCATTAAATGGACCACGACCAGAAGATGTCTAAAAGACGAAGAGAATATGACAGAAACAAATCAAATGGTTAAGGTAAGGTAGCATTTTATGCAAATATTTTTGAAAATTGGTAGTTGTATTATACACATTACGAAATATAATGTTAAAGTAATTACCATTTGGCAAATTTACTCGAAAGAAAATCTCAAAATTATAGTCACGATAACATCCGTATTTAAAATTACAAGATGTAATATAGAAATAGAGTGTAGATATTCAGTAGTGATAGAGAATTCAGAAAGAAACATTCTTAAATGGCTTGAATTTAAATTGACAACTTCAAAGTTTACATATTTAAATTTAAAGTTTGTTTAGAGGTAGATACCAAAGACATATTCTTCTCGACTTCTTCTTTAGATTTATAGACAAAATCAAAAACTAGTTAATTTGACTTATTAAACAATATAACTGTATTCAATAAACAAATATTCTAGTTATCATAATGTTTTCTATATAAACTGGTTCTATTGTATTACAATCAATTCAAAAATAAATCGGGGTTTAAAGTAAGAAAGAGACAAACCAAAAGTTGAGTCTAGAAACAAGAGCAAACAAATTCAATCGATATGGCTAATCCTAGTTATTGGCCATCTCTTCTTATGTTGGTCCTGGCCTTGTATGTCGTAGCTGCGCATACAAGCGCTCAGTACACATACCCCGCACCATCACCACCACTGTATGTATACAGTTCTCCACCCCCATACGCGTACAGTCCACCCCCATCTCCATATGGTTACAAGTCTCCCCCTTACGTCTATAGTGCTCCAACGACATACGCCTACAGTCCACCACCATACGCCTACAGTCCACCACCATCTCCATATGTTTACAAGTCTCCACCTTACGTCTATAGTTCTCCACCACCATACGCCTACAGTCCACCACCATCTCCATATGTTTACAAGTCGCCACCTTACGTCTATAGTTCACCACCATACGCCTACAGTCCACCACCATCTCCCTATGTTTACAAGTATCCACCTTACGTATATAGTTCTCCACCACCATACGCCTACAGTCCACCGCCATCTCCATATGTTTACAAGTCTCCACCTTACGTCTATAGTTCTCCCCCACCATACGCTTACAGTCCACCACCATCTCCGTATATTTACAAGTCTCCACCTTACGTATACAACTCCCCACCAGCATATGCCTACAGTCCCCCACCACCATCTCCATATCTTTACAAGTCACCACCAACTTCTCCTTACGTCTACAGTTCTCCTCCATATGTTTACCAGTCTCCACCGCCATCTCAAAGCTATAATTATAGCTCTCCCTCTCCTCCAATATACTAACAGACATACATGATGAACTGAGTTTCAAAACAATTACAGTTTCGTATATCAGCCATCATATTCGTGGAATATAACTTTTTTTTCTTTCTAAATTTTCATATATATAATAAATAAAATGTATATCTTTGCTTACAAAGAAGGTGCATTTTTGTTGTTTGGTTGCTTCTTTCGATGTTGTTTAACGCTTTAATTAAGAGGTCAATGTGCTTGTCCTCCATTTTTTGTGTCTAATAAACTCAATAAATCTTATTGAAATAGTTCAAATAAATCCATTAATCCTGTTTTTTGTGAAACAATTTCAGTTTTATAAGAAATTACTATAGTATTTATATATATACAGCTGTAGCTATGTAACTAGGAGTCTGTATAAGGATCAATTCATTCTCATAAGAAAACAAAGAAAAGATAGCGATTGAACAAGACATTTCTCAATTATATATTTTAAAGCAACTAAACTGGGTTTTACAATAACCGTTACTATTATTTTATCGTTATTTGTTACTATTTTAAAGTTTTCCCTATATATATCGGGAAAAAAACTAGTTTGACCCATAACTAAGGTCTAATTACTAGAATAACTCATAAAAGTATAGGTTAATCTAGTTATTTTTCTGACCAAAATATCCTTTGTCTCTATGTTAGGAACAAAAAAAATTCAATATTATCCTCTGATTTTTTTGGAGACGTGGGTGAAATTTTTGCGAAAAAACAAATCTGCCATGAAAAGTATGCCGGTCTCGTTGGGATAGTTTTATTTTCGACGACAGACTTAATGGGCAACAACTAGACATGTCAATTAGGGCCAAAGCCCGCGGGCTAGCCCGGCCCAGCCCTAAAAAACAACGGGCTCGGACTTCAAAATATATGTCCAGAAAAAATCGGGCCTTTCGGGCTAAGCCCGTTTGGGCTAAAGGGTTTTTTGGGCTTAGCCCGGCCGGGCTCGGGCTAGCCCGAAAAACCCTTTAAAAAATATTTTGACTTTTTTTTTTGTTAATATTTTTGTTTAATCGTAAGATTTGTTGTAAAAAAAGTTTTTGATAGAGTTGAAAATCCTAAACTTAGTTTTTTAATTGTGTATTACTATAAATCTAAAAAGCAAATATTAACTCTACTACCTAATTTGGATTATTTTTATTTTATATTTTATCTAGTATAAGTTTAAACAATTTATTTGGATTATTTATTTGATTTTAACTCTCTTTTTAAAAAACTAAATTAGCGTCAGTGGTTATTTAAATTTTGATTGACTCGTTTCATATATAGATTTTTTTTAAGAGATATTATAAACTATAAGTTTGTTTTTTATTGTCAGAAGAAAAACCGAAAAAAGCCAGGAAAAGCCCTGTAACCCTGTTAGGGCCGGGTTGGGCTTTAAAATATAGGCTCGGACTTTTTACAGGCAGGCCTGGGCCGGGCTCAAATATGTACGGGTTTTGCGGGTTTCGGGCCGGGCTAGCCCGATTGACATGCCTAGCAACGACAGATTTTTTGCGGCAATTCCCCCCCCCCCACAAATTTATTTGAATATGATTACGACAGATATTTAAATTGTAGCAGATTTTTTTCCTTTGCCAGACTTAATTGCTCTTGATGCCTCAGACTTTGGTAATTTTGACAGTTTAGTTTGAGTGTATAGCAGATTTTTGTTTCTAGTGTCGCCAGATGACATATAGTCCCAACCGATATGTGTAACGTTATGACAGATTTTTTTATGTTATGCCAGATTTATGTTTAATTTTAAAAAATCGGGTGTTTAATAGCAGATTTGTTGACAACATATTTTTAATTGTTATGACAGACTTTTATATTATTTTGACAGATTTTTAATATTTATTTGAAGTCAGAATTTATCTTGAAAATATTATGTTTGGCAGTTTCTTAAAAATCTGAAAAAATATGACACGGCAGACATAATTTTAACGTGACAGACTTTTTAAAATTAACTGCCATATTTGATTTTAAAAACAATTAATTACGACTATAACTTTCCATATTTTCTAGGGTTTTGTGGCATCAGTTACGGTTTCCTTTCTCCTCCATTCTCACTCACGACGCCACAATCCCTTTCTACAGAATAACGTTCATCTCTTTTAAGGTTCCTATTCAAGTAGATTAGTTATTTATTTTTCCATTTTCGGTTAATCTCTTTAACTTTTCTTTCAATCCACGTTTTATTCTACAATTTGGAGTTCTATCAACGATGTCTCAAAACAAAGGGAGTGAATTGGATATGAATCAGGTGATTCTCGTATGTGGCAAATGGATCTTCGAGAAAAACATATGGTCGTTTGTCATTGATAACAATAGGGGATGTCGCGTGATGGAAGTTAACCGTGAAACAAGTTACGATCAATGCATTCAAATGTTCTTTGAGGATTATGGGCTGCATAACAGAGTCTGTGATGTTGTCTTGAGCTACGAGATATCAAAGATGATGTTGCAGTCCTTACCTGGTGATACACCACCAATATTATAAGTAATTCTAGACAGTTTCACACTTTTCTGGGGTTATTGAAGAGCAATACAATTCGTCTATGTGTTGAAGTGAAAAGGAAAAACTCGACTCAATCCAATAAAATCGACAATGAAGGTGTCACTGACAACAAATTGCAGAGAAAACAAGGAAGAAACGAAAATGTGATGGAAGAAGATGAAACTGATTTGACTCAGGTAGTCGAAGTCGGGGTTGAGGTAGACGAGGAAGATGAAGAAATTCGATTTGATTATTGCGACGATTATGACGGAACAGACTCCGATGATGAGAATATTAGCTTGTATGGGATTCCACCAGAAGAAAAAGAAAAGCCAAATTTACCAATGAAGAAGAGGAGTCTAGGTACTTTAATTGAAGAACAAAAAGAAGATGATCATTATGCAACGTTAGAAATGTCTGCTGTGGAATTGGCTTTTGGACAATGTTATGAAACGAAAGAGCATTTGGAGACACGATTGAAGATACTTACCGTGGTTCAAAAATTTGATTTTTATGCTTATAAATCGACACCATTTATATTGGTTGTCAAGTGCTGGGTTAAAGGTTGTACGTGGAAGGTACGAGCTACAGCAACAAACGACTATCCAAAGTTTCATGTCCGTAAGTATGTTTCGGAACATACATGTTCAGTTACAAACTGTTCTGCACGTGTTCGACAAGCAACAGATGATATACTTGGTGTATTGTATAAGGATTTTGTTGCTGGAGTTTGTGGATGTAGGATTCACACTCGATTGTCTTTAAGTATATTTGTGGAGAAAAACTCTAAAATCAACAAATGAAAATATGGAATTGAAAAGGGAAGTAACCAAGAAACTAAATAAAAGCAAAAGAACTTGGAAAGAATAAAATAGTAAAAAGCCTTGCAAAATTGTAAAAGAAAAACTATGTTGAATTGCTTCATCGTAAGAGGAAAAAGTTGTTCTCTCCCCCAAACACATGCGTTTGAGGTTGTTTTTATAGAGAAAACATGATCAATGCAGTCATTTACTGCTTATAATTGTATTGATCCGCATTAATCATGTAGGTTACAATTTGACCGAAACGGCTTGAATTTGAACTATCTTGGGCTTCGCGTGGATCTTCTGAACCCTTTCTTGTTGACTCTGAACTCCTGCGTCTTGACGCTGCCGCGAACCTCGAGCAATATTCTCCTCGCTTCGGCCTTCTTTTATGCGAACTATATATTGAATAAGAGCGAACTCTGTACTGGTAAAGATCGAGCTCTTTAATAAACTGAATCAAACTTCCGACAGGTCGAGCTCGATTCTCGCAATGAAACATCTAGAAATCCAAGAGGATTATTATGTAATAATGACGTGGACAGATCCAAGTGGATCCTACCAAAGATATGTGGGATCCGACCCCAACATTTAGCCCCCCAAGTCTTGCGAGCTGAGTACTCGGCTTGGAAGACTTAAGTAAACTGTAATTAATGATTCGAGATCTTTAACATTCCGGAATTACTCCATGTTTTTCGCTATTACGCTGATCTCGGATAATCAGATGATTTGATTTCATTGACAACTGTCATCATTAATTTCTTAATTTTATATTAATACCACGGGGAAAACTGTCCCACTTCCCAATATTCTCGAGGCGGTTTTCCATCATACTTTAGGGTTCTAAGAGGTAAAATCACTTTTCCATCTTATCTTCTTTACCTAGAAAACTTTCATTCTTATTACAGAAGTCATTGTTTCCTTTCGGTAAAAAATCCTTTTTGTAAAATGTTGAACCTTTCTTCCGAATTTCGCGAGTATGAAGTTGATGACCTCGAAGCTCTCATGGGTGATGGATCCGAACCTCAAATCCATACTGGAGATGAGTTTGATCTTCACCCTCAGAGTGAATCGACTGTCGATTCTCTCGACGATCTTCGCAGACTATGTCATATCCCTCCTGAGGTGGAGATGATAGTTCCAGAGCCCTGCGAGTCTCCTGAGTCGGGACGAGATGGTTACTACTGCGCTTATGAAATTTATTTCAAAGGGTGCAGCTTATTCTTTCCCCTTCCCGAGATACTTCTCACTTACCTCAACCATCTGGGAATTGCCTTCGATCTCAGATGTCGCCCAACATGCTTCGGTATCTTTTGTGTACCTTTACTGTTGCGGCGGAGACTGGCTACTCGTTGGGACTTTGCGAACTCTTGGAACTTTTCCAGGCTCGCGAATCCCAAACTTCTGGGTATTATGCCCTTTATCCGATCGCGGATCGGAATCTTATTGATAGCCTGCCCTTAAAGGACAACGCCTGGAGGAAGTTTTGGTTCTTCTTCCGTATAAATAACTTTTCTATTCAGAGCTCTTCTGAACTCCTTCGAGTCCACTGGTCATTGAATTTGGGTAGAAACTAGGACTTAACTGAATAAATTCCCTATGTTATTTCAAACTGCGTTTTAACATTTCCTTGTTTTCTCGCAGGTCCCCAAATTCGACCGGTCACATCCATCGATTTTCTCAATTTCTACAAGGCCGTCTTGGAGAGGCCAGTTAATTGGAATTCCTTTAATTTGGAAAGGATTCACGGTACCGGATTTTCTGTCAGAATGGGCTTTACTAACCCCGTCGACCCTCCTCCCGCTGGGATTGATCTCTCGAGTCTGAATGCCCGAGATAGGAGAAAGATCAAAGAAGCAAACAAGAAGATCAAAGATCAGAT